CCCACTCCGTAGATGCCTTCTCCTCTCGCATCAATTGGGAGGGTTGAACACACACAACCTAGCCAACTGATGTCATTGAAAACGAGGCAATGTCATTTCCAGAGTGCGCCTCGATGTGTACCCTGCCGTGGCAGGGCTAACCTGGGTCACAACTCAGATATGGCAGGGTCCCTGAAACACATCCAGGGACCCTGGTTACAGCGAATCATGTGAATTGTGAGGAGCCAGCCAGTTTGCTTGGCGGGCTGAGGTGGCCTAATTTCAGCACTGAATGTTCCGGGTTGAGTCAAAATTCAGCACTTGAATTCAAGACTTTACTAGAGTGTCAACACATCGTGAAAGTAGTTGAAGTTCAAGTACGCCAAGGGCTCCAGTATAGCAGAATCCTAAGTCGATCTAAAATGCAGCGCGGGGGGAGGGGAGAGTGAGGACGTTTTACATAAGCAGGAGTGTGTACAAAGGGAAGGGCTATGAATGTATACGTCGGGCTGGCCTCAAAGCCAGCGCTTGAATTCTCTGAGCTGGGCTCAAACAAACACTTGAATTAAAGGATAAATAGGAAAAATGCCCTTGTAGCGACAGGCCTGGTGACGAAGATGCGCTGGCTTGGGTGGGTCCCTCTTGAGTCACCACAGGATGCAATGCAAGCCCACAACCACAACGTGATGGAGCTGCCGCGGATTGTAATCCACGCAAAAACGACCCAATCGCAGCAGTAGCAAGGTGGACGCCCAATTGCATGTGACGTGGAAACCGATCACGCTTAGATGGCATTCCTGGGGATGGCCAAACGCCAAACGTCTGGACATTTGAGCGTTGGGGGCACGTGCCTTCAACGAGGCAGCCCACCAACACGAATCTGGCGTTCCAATGTACCTCCGTGCGACGTTTTCGCACGACTGGTGTTCAGTAGTGTAGTTGACTCAACGTGCAACTGTAATGGCGCAGCTGTAAACACCAGAACGAGGGCCAAAACCATTTGGGGCATTGGAAAAAAACAAATCCACCTGGGATGGTTGCGTTGAAGTAGCAGGTGTTTGTGTTGGTAGGGAATTCGGCACTGCATACCCTATGCGCGCGAGGATTGTCGATTCAGCAAGGAATATTTTCGAGGGTGCGTGCCCTGGCTTGTTCAACGTCGAACAGGTCGCAGACGTTTGTTCGCGCACGAAATTAATTGGTGCGCGGGTGCAGATGTACACTTGGCGGGTCCGTACCAGCGACGATGAAAACTGCTGATGGGGATGTGTTGCCAACGGCACAAGGCAACTTTTACACGTCATTGGAGCGGCTAATGTCCAGGCCATCCCCAGGAACGCCCTCTTATTTCCCTTGCTTCCTGGGAAATATGACGACAGGTGGCACACGTGATATCTACGTCAGCGAGTCGCACGTCGGGAAATATCCTTGGTGTTGATATCCAGAACTATTATTGCCTTCTAAACAGCACTTCTATTTGACACACCAAGTCAAGTGCAGGTGCAATAATATATCTTTCTGGCTGCTCAAAAAGTAATGTGATGCTGGTAGCTACAAATGATAAGCCGAGTTCAGAATAATGCGATCTTCCGCGTAGCTTGGAACATGGTATATTATACATATGAATACTGTATGTCGTCCTCAAAGGGAGCACATTACATGGTACTTGATTGAGGTTGCGTAAAAATCAGCTACAATCAGCATACGACTGGAGCCATTTGCATTTCACATTGGCCCTACTGTAAAAGCCCCAGCTTAAAATACGCGATAACTGCCTCACAAACAATGCACTATGCAAGCACGCTAAATTGTGCAAGCAGCTGAACTTTTGATGTTATCAATCATCATTCCATTACACGGCACCACTAGTCCATGTGCCATACCACGATATTTTTTTCGTCTAAAACGGTCTGAACAAGGCGTCGGCCGCCCACCATTTTCTGTTTTTCAGCCTTTCAGCGAGAAACGTCATGATGTTGAGGGTCCCTCCAACGTGGTCGTATCAAGTATCTCACGCCACCTGCTCTGAAGCTACAGGTAGCAGGAAGGAGGGGGTTCAGGTTGGACAGCAGGCCAAGAGCAGGTAGAAAAGAACGAGTTTGAGTAAGTTAGGCATGGATTGGTGGGTGGGAACGACGGTGGGAGGGAGGGAGAGGAGGAGGGAGGGAAGGAGGGAGGGAGGGAGGGAGGGAGGGAGGGAGGGAGGGAGGGAGGGAGGGAGGGAGGGAGGGAGGGAGGGAGGGAGGGAGGGAGGGAGGGAGGGAGGGAGGGAGGGAGGGAGGGAGGGAAAGAGGGAGGGTGGGAGGGAGGGGGAGGAATTCAGGTATGCATGAATGCATGAGCAGTTGAACACAGTTGAAGCATGAAGGCATGAGTAGCATGGGGATGGTGGAAGCAAGAACATATGTGGACATTGAGTCAGGCTGCATGTCCTTTTCAATTATTATAGCATGCATAGGCAATCAGCCCCAGTTCTTTTAACCGCGCCAACTATTTCCGTCAGTAGTAAAGAATGTTTAGATCCAGATATTTTAGCACACACCAACACACCCAGATATATATTCAAACACACACGCACGCACGCACACACCCACCCCCCCCCCCCCCCCCCCCCCCCCCCCCCCCCCCCCACACACACACACACACACGCACGCACGCACACACAGCCACCCAGACCACACCACCAGAATGCCACACCACAAGCACAGCCAAAAAAAATGGGCGGCACACCAACGAGTGTGCTCCGTTGAAGCACATAACACACAAAACACTTAACTAAATGTGGAATCCTAGTTGGTGTATTGGCTAGAGAGACAGCAGCAGTTGATTGAGAGCGATTGAAAGAGTGTGGGAATGAGAGTGAAAGAGAAGAGACTGAAAGAGTGTGAGGAAGAGAGTGAAAGAGTGCTGTTTCTGGCCTCAGCCTAGACACTTACCTGTTGTCGCTGAACCCCTGGTGAAGTATAATACCTTCCTGCCCATGCTGTAATCCACTCTTTTGAATGGAAAGGAGCCCTTGAGAAAGAGAGTGAAAGAGTGTGCAGGGTGGCACCTGAGCTGAGGGCAGTCAAAGGAGTCGTTGCGGATGAAGCGATTCCTAGTGGATGAAGCGAGTGAGGATAGGGTGAGCTAGAGTCTAGAGAGTGAGCGCTTGTCAAGCTGGCAGCAATGATTGCAAAGCTTGAAAAGGCTGGACACCTGGGGGTTATCAAAGGAGTCGTCGCGGATGAAGCGGGCGAGGAGGTCGAGTGGGGGGCGGAAGGCTGGGTCCTCGCGCAGACACATGATGGCAGCGGCAGCAGTGCGCCACAGTGATGCGCGGTCGTAGCGGCCCCTCAGGCACGGGTCCACTATCGCCTCCACCTGCATGCTCTTCAGCTTCGGCAGCGCCTGCATGGGATGGGTGACGGGGGTTGGGGGGTTGAGGGAGTTGAGGTTGTTTGGAGAAGCATGGGTTGACCAGGCATGGGTCCACTATCGCCTCCACCTGCATGCTTCAGCTTCGGCAGTGCCTGCATGGGCGGCAATTAGGGGTGGGATTGTGTTTGAGGTAGGCATGATGGAGAAAGCATGGGCCCCTCAGGCACGGGTCCACTATCGCCTTCACCTGCATGCTCTTCAGCTTTGAGAGCGCCTGCATCGGTGGCGGATGGGGTTGGGTAAGGGGATTGGTAGGTAATGAGGAGGCACATGATAGCAGCAGCAGCAGTGCGCCGGAGGGACGCACGATCGTAGCAGCCCGGCCCCTCAGGCATGGGTCCACTATCGCCTCCACCTGCATGCTCTTCAGCTGTGGGTTGGGAGTGCCTGCACGGGTGACGGATGGGGATGAGGAATTAGAAGGTGGTTGAGTTAGGGCTTGGGAGAATAGGGAACCATGGGGGAAAGCAGGGCATGGCTTTCACGGGTCCACTATTGCCTCTGTCACAACTTGAGCTTAGAATCCATGCATTAGTAATGAGCTTGAAGCTCTTTACGTACATCCAGGATAAGCAAGAGATGGATGGGGAGGGAATCTGGGGCAATATCTAGGGATTGGGGGTAACCCCAAGGCAATCTCCAATTGGTGGGTCCGGGATTGCTTGGAGATCACATTTGGGTTTGGTTGGGATGTGAGTGTACACCCAACCAAACACTAAGTGCTAACTACACTAAACTAGGATGTAAGCAAGTACAAGTACAAAATGTGAGATTGGGGGTTAACACGAGCAGCCTCCACCTGCATGCTCCTCAGCTTTGGGAGCGCCTGCATGCTCCTCAGCTTTGGGAGCGCCTGCACGCTCCTCAGCTTTGGGAGCGCCTGCATGCTCCTCAGCTTTGGGAGCGCCTGCATGCTCCTCAGCTTTGGGAGCGCCTGCATGCTCCTCAGCTTTGGGAGCGCCTGCATGCTCCTCAGCTTTGGGAGCGCCTGCATGCTCCTCAGCTTTGGGAGCGCCTGCATGCTCCTCAGCTTTGGGAGCGCCTGCATGCTCCTCAGCTTTGGGAGCGCCTGCATGCGTGGGCGTTGGGGTTGGGCTTGTGGTTGAAGTTGAGGTTGAGAAAGTATAGGTTGTTTGGAAAAGCATGGGTCGCATAGGCATGGGTGCACCATCGCCTCTTCCTTCATGCATGGGCGGCTGTTGCGGCTGGGTTCGGTAAAGGGGAAAGGATGAAATCGGGACTGGGTTGGGATTGGATAGGACAAGACTTGGGGATGGCATTGAGAGAGGTTGAGAGGGTGAGGAAGAAACTGGTGGATAGGGTAGTGTGTGTGGAAACATGGGCAGGCTGTGCAAGCACAGGCCCACTACATGCCTCCACCTGCGCGCTCTTGAGCTTCTATCCTTGGTACGGGTTTGTGCTGGGATTGGGGTCGGGGTTGGGGTACGAGAGCATGGACATTTTGGCTTTATCTGCGGGAGGTTCATTGCCATGGTATGTTCTTGACACGCCTCCTCACAAACCCCTGACCAGCTCTCCCCGCTCACCCACCCAGACGACGAGGTTGTTGTCCTCATCCCGGGAAGGGTCCATCTGAAAGGCACGTTCTTTGTCGTTGCAGGGTAGGTTTTGAGATTTGAGAATTCAAAATATCACATGGAACATTCTTTGACACACGCCTCCCGAGTGAGCATAAAACCCCCGCCCACCCAGCTCTCCCCCGTCCCCCACACACCCAGCTCTCCCCCGTCCCCCACTCACCCAGCTCTCCCCCGTCCCCTACTCACCCAGCTCTCCCCCGTCCCCTACTCACCCAGACGACGAGATTGTTGTCCTCATCCGGGGGAGGGTCCATCTCAATGGCGCGCCGCCCGGTGATGATCTCGAGGAGGACAATCCCGAGGCTGTAGGCGTCAGAGGTGGGCCCCATGTCGCCGAACATGAAGTACTCGGGTGCCATGTACCCTAGCGTGCCCTGCACCTCCTGCACCTCCCCCTGCTCGCCGCCCTCCTCCAGAAACAGCGCAAGTCCAAAATCCGCAAGCTGGGGGGGAAAGGGAGAAGGGATGAGGGGAGGTGGGGAGGAGAGGGGGGTGGGGATGTGGGGAGGAGGGAAGAGAGAAGGGAGGAAGTGAGTGAGGGAGAAGAGGAAAGAGAGGAGAGAGTGTGGGAAGAGCGGAGCAGAGAGCGGGGCAATCTCGAGGCTGTAGGCGTCAGAGGTGGGCCCCATGTCGCCGAACATGAAGTACTCGGGTGCCATGTACCCCAGCGTGCCCTGCACCTCCTGCACCTCCCCCTGCTCGCCGCCCTCCTCCAGGAATAAAGCCAGCCCGAAATCCGCGAGCTGGGGGGGTGGGGGGAGAAGAGAGGAGGGAGGAGGAGAAAGGGAGGAAATGCAGAAGAAATGTAGAAGGGCGGAGGGAAGGAGGGTGGAGGGGAGGAGGGTAGGAGGGAGGAGGGGAAAAAAGAAGTGAGTGATGGAGGAGAGGAGAAAACGTGAAGGGTGGAGATAGAGCGAGGAGAGGAGATAGAGGGAGGAGAGAAGAGAGCAGGGAAATCAGAGAGGGCAGAAAAAAAACAATTTAAGAGGGTTTAGGGGAGGCGAATTGAGGAATCGAACCTTGGCTCACACAAGGCTGTTGTGATTTACCGGCTTGCAAAAGGCTGTTGTAATTAACCGGCTTGCAAAAGGTTGTTGTGATTTACCGGCTCGCAAAAGGCTGTTGTGATTTACAGCCCATGCTACAGTCCAGAATCATCTCACCATGGGCTGCCAGTTGCTGTCAAGAAGCACGATGGCCGCTTTGAGGTCTCGGTGCAGCAGCATGCGTCCCATGCCGTGGTGCAGGTAATAAAAGAGTTGTTTTGAGACGTCTCAAAACAACACTTTTATCACGTAGCAGCATGCGTCCCTTGCTGTGGTGCATTTAGTGCACCGCCTCCCTCACACAACCCTGCTGCTGCTACCCGGTTCTCGCGTGGACACAAGAAGAAACTCACTCACCATGGGCTGCCAGTTGCTGTCAAGAAGCACGTTGGCGGCTTTAAGGTCTCGGTGCAACAGAGTGCGTCCCATGCCATGGTGAAGATAGTGCACCGCCTCACACAACCCTGCTGCGATCTGCACTCTCCTCGCCCAAGATAACCCACTCGCTGCCCCTCCCCCTCCTCCTCCTCCTCCTGCTCCTCCTTTGCTCTTTGTCTTCTTCGCCTTGCGTTTCTCGCCCTCTGACCGCACTCCCTTCCCGCCACCCCCTGCCTTGCTGCGCTTCCCCTGCCCTGCTGCTTCTCCTAATTTCGCCTCCCTCAGACTACCCAAACTCTCTTGCACCCCAACCGCCTCTTCCTTTCCAATTAGCTTCTTCCCCATCCCTTCTCCCTCCTCCTCTGCTCCCGCCCCATCAGGCACTCTCTCCTCCTCTCCTTCCTCCCCCCCTTCCTCTTCCTCCTCCTCCACTTCCTCCTCTTCTTCCTCCCCATCTCCCCCCTCTCCCACCATCCCCCCCTCCCGTATCGCCTTCAAATACCCTTCCAAACTCCCTCTACTCAGCAACGGATAGATCAACATTCTCATGTTCCTTTCTATGCAAAACCCAAGCAGCTGGACAATCTTAGGGTGATTCACATGAGTCAACGCACTCATCTCCCCTTTAAACTCCGCCTCACCACTCTTACTCTTCCGCATAACCTTAATCGCCACCTTCTTTCCCTCCAGCAACCTCCCCTTGTACACGCGTGCGAACCCCCCACACCCAATCATATTCCGCTTCGCAAACCCATCAGTGGCAAGCGCTAGCTCTGCATAAGCAAACGCCCGAGGCACCAGCGGCAGATTGGCACAACCTACACCGGGAATCACAGTTCCATTCGACCCCACAGACCCGCTCCCCCTGCTGCTTCCTGCCCCGCCCAAGCCTCTCACTCCCAGCTTCCCTGCAATCCTGTGTCCTGCCACTGCCAGCACTGCTCGCTTACCCCGGGTACGAGTTACAGACGAGGAGGCGGAGGATGAAGAGGGGGAGGACGAGGCGGGAGGGACGGCAAGACCTGCAAGCCTTGCCAGGGCAGCAGCAGCAGGGGAAGCGTGAGACGGCTTCGACGCGTGCTGGTTCTGGTTAGAACCACTTTTGTGGCTGCTGGTGCTGCTGCTGCTGTGCGCAATGCGGGCACGCGAGGGCGAGTGTGAGAGCGAGTGAGAGGAAGAACGGTTGTGCTTCCCGGGGCGGGTGCGAGAGGGAGACGAGGAGTTGCTGCTGCGATGCCAGAAGGTGGAGGCACGCAGGAGAGCAGCGCGACGGGGGACAGCAGCAGCAGCAGCAGCAGCCTGGAAGTCTCCCCCTTCTTCTTCCCTGCCTGTGTCAGCAGTGGAGTCGACAGCAGCGACAGCGGCAGCCGCTGCGGCAGCAAGAGTGGCGTTGGCATCTAGAGTCCTCCCTCCTGCTGGTTCTTCGCCTGCCATTCCCCCCTCCCCCCCCCACATTTCGTTGGCATTGCTCTCGCCCCCATGCATATGAGGCAATGAAGCAGCGGATTGTGCGGAGGAGGAGGAGATGGAGCTGGGAATCATGTTGGGAGAAGGGAGAAATTCGCCTGCGAGATGCTTGCTGGGTGCGTGCTTGGTCAAGCGCATGCTGCGAATGCCAGCCTTGGAGAAGAAAGGGGTGAGAAGGGAGGAGCCAGGAGTGCGGACGGGGACGGATGGGTGCCGAGCGGTATTACTACGTCCCGCAGCAGCACCACTACCACTAGTACCACCAGCAGCAGCAGCAGCAGCGGCGGCGGCGGCGGCGGCGGCGATTTCCCCGCGCGTTTTCATACCCAGGGCACCATCTGTGGTGCTTGCTCTGTGTGCCAGCATCTCCGCTCTCCGCGACAAAGGGCTCACGCTCCTGCTGCTGTTACCGCTGCTCGCGGCACTTGCCGCCCTGATGCTAACCAAATCTTCACTACTTGACACCGCCACCATGCCTCTCCCACTCCCACTCCCACTCCCACTCCCACTCCCACTCCCACTCCCATTACTCTCCTCCACTCTGCCCCCCCGCCTGCTCTCTGCTCCCTCTCCCGTGCTGCCGATTCCCCTCCCTGCATCGTCCCCATTGCTGGTTTCTGCTAACCAAGCCTGGGAAGGTCCACCAATCTCCGAGGCATCTCCCATGCTGTTCCTGCGGCTGCGATCCATACTCATATTGCTGCTCCTCCTCCTGCTCCTCTCACCCCTGCTGCTGCTGCTGCTGCTGCCGCTGTCGCTGCTCTTACCAGTGCTGGCGCCAATGCTGGTGCTCTGTGCTCGTCTGCTTGTTGCAAGCCCAAGCCTGTAGCTAATCTCCCGTATTACGGAATCAGCACCAGCGGCACCAGAAGGAGCAGAACCATGGGTATAAGGGTCGCCGATACCGCCGCGATTTTTCCCTTCTCCTTCCTCCTCCCAATCCTCATCCTCCTCCTCCTCCTCTTCCTCCTCCTCCTCCTCCTCCGCCTCCTCTTCCTCCCCTGTGACTCCCATCAGCTCTTCCAGCTTCAATGGGGGAGGCCGCCGTCTAACTTCCCCGTCACAACCACCACCGCCGTCACAAGCAGCAACAGCATCACCAGCAGCACCACCACTGCAGTCACGAGAATCGAACTGTTCATCCCCGTTCGCATCCGTCCCCCCTTCCTTCTCCCCAGCCTCCCCTCCCCCGCCTCCCGCCCCCTGCGTGCCTCTCGCCAGGCTGGCACTCCGGAACGACGCGATTCGCGCGAGCGTCAGCGTGCGCAGCTGCTGACTCCTGCTGACGTGGCCACTGCTGGATCCGCTCGCGTTTCCATATAATCCACCCACGTGGCCCACGTGGTGTCCGTTCCCCTGACAGCTCGAACCCTCTCCTTCTGCTGCTTGACACGGTGCTGGGCATGCTGCAGTACATGCTGCAGTACATGCTGCGTGCCCAGCAGCTTCGCCTGCTGTGCAACTCAGCCCGCCTTCCCTGCTCCGGCTAGAACCGCTAGAACCGCTAGAACCGCTTCCAGAGAGAGACGCTCCGTGTGTTGTTGAGTCACTCGGCGGCAACGGCAACGGCGGCTTTTGCTTTAGAGAGGACGCGTGAGAAGCTGAGGTGAGCTCACGTGATGTTGGTGGTAGAGGAGGTAGAAGAGAGAGTGACTCTGCGATAGTTGAGGGATCATCATCATCAACCGTTGTTGGGTCCGCACCATTCTCGCCACCATGCTCACCAATCCCATGCTCACCACTCCCCAGCCCATCTGAACCCCGCCCTGCATCGTCCCCCCCCCGCGCCACTCGCTCTACCCAGCCTGCTTCTACTCATCGTCCGTTTCCACCCCAGTCCCCCCCTGCTCCCTCCGCCTCCTCCTCCTCCTCCTCCTCCGCCTCCACCACCACCTACAGCAGCACCGAAAGTGGTAGCACGAGGAAACATTCCCACTCTTCTCGGCACCTCCTCCTCCCCTCCTTCCCTCATCCCCTCCGCGTGTCTCACAACGCCCGCCCCCATAGTCACAGATCTGGGGAAAGCAGCACCAGCCGCACCAGAAGCACTGTCAGTTAACCCCCCCATGCTGCTGTTGTCATCCCACGGCGTGGCAAGCAGGCGTTCGGCCAGACGGGTGCCTTGAAACCCTTGCTTCCGAGCAAGCAGATTCGCAACCGCAGAGTCACTAACCCCCCCAGCAGCAGCAGCACCACCACCACCCCCGCCACTGCCGCCGCCATAAACAACAACACCCGTTCCGCCCGCACCTCTCATCGCCGCTCCCGATTCCCCACCACCGGTTCTCACACCAAAATCTCTACCAGCAGGCGCGGATCGAGAGTGTACGAGGGCTCGGCGGCAGGCGGAGATGCGGGAGGTGAGGAGGTTGCTCTGGCGGGAGAGGGAGAGCGCGGAGAGCTCCCCCACGGCTGCTGCGACCTCTGCCGGGGCCATCATGGCCTGTGCCACGCGCTGTAACTGGATGATGTGCCGCACTGCCTCGTGCCACCGCTTGCGCGCTGTTATGCTGCCGAGAGATGCGGGATTGCTGCTGCTGCTGCTGCTGCTGCTGCTGCCGCTGGTGCTGGTGCTGCTAGCAGCACCACCCTTGGAGCCGTTCCTTCCCACAGCATTCTCGTCGTGACTGCTGCCTGCACTGTTGCTGTCTTTATGTGTCTTGCCACTCGCTTCCATCGCAGATGCCTGCTCCAATGATAAACGCTCTTGATCTGCGAACGTTTTCTGGGAATTCTCGGAAATCTCTTGATCAGGAAATGACACCCTGCGCCCTCTGCATCTCCCTGCTCTCTCCCCTTCCGTTTTCCTTTCACCTCCCTCCTCCTTTTCCTTTCGCTTCTCATCTCCCTCCCGCTCTCCCTCTTCCTCCTCTTCCTTTCGCTTATCCTCTCCCTCCCCCTCCTCCTCCTCTTCTTCCTCCCCCTCCTCCTCCTCCTCCTCCTCCTCCTCCTCCTCCTCCTCCTCCTCCTCCTCCTCCTCCTCCTCCTCCTCCTCCTCCTCCTCCTCCTCCTCCTCCTCCTCCTCCTCCTCCGCCGCCGCCGCCGCCGCCGCCTCCTCCTTCTGTTGCTGTTTCAGGCTTGGGTGATGCAAGTTCGTGAGGACTAAAGATGGGGTGGAGGTGGGTGAGGTAGAGACGGGATGAGTACGTGGAAGCGTGGGCTCGCCGCGAGAAACGGAGGAGGAGGAGGAGACGATGGAGATGCAAGAGGGGGTGGAGGATGATGATGATGAGGAGGAGGAGGAGGAGGAGGAGGAGGAGGAGGAGGAGGAGGAGGAGGAGGAGGAGGAGGAGGAGGAGGAGGAGGAGGAGGAGGAGGAGGAGGAGGAGGAGGAGGAGGAGGAGGAAGAGGAGGAGGAGGAGGAGGAGGAGGAGGAGGAGGAGGAGGAGGAGGAGGAGGAGGAGGAGGAGGAGGAGGAGGAGGAGGAGGAGGAGGAGGAGGAGGAGGAGGAGGAGGAGGAGGAGGAGGAGGAGGAGGACAACGACGAGGAACAGGTCATAGCGACGGAGCTAGTAGGCGTGTTGTCATGGTGAGATGCAACAGAAGATGAGGACGATGAAGACGATGAGGACGATGAGGACGAGAAAGACGACGAAGTGGAAGGAGAGGAAGAGGATGAAGTGGAAGAGGAAGAGGAAGAGGACGAACAAGCGGGTAGCTTGCTTCTCAACGCGTCACCCGTGCTCTGGCTCCGCCTGTGATGGCTCCTATCCACCCCACGGATCTTCCCATACAGCTCTAGATCCATCTCGCCACTCACACTTCGATTCTCGCCCCGCTGCGTCCTCCCTTCCCTCCTTCCAGATCCTCTCTCCCCTCCCCTGTCCTCGTCCTCCCCCTCATATTCCACCTCTCCTTCCTCTCCGCTGCTAGGCCCGTTTACCCCTGCCGCTTCCCCCCCCTGATTCTGCCATAGCTTCTCCTGCTGCTGCTGCTGCTGCCACGCGGCCCACGCGATGCTCCCTACGTCCGCCGGAGCCACCTTTCCCCCCGGCGTTGCTCTCCCCGCAGATCTGCGCTCGCGCCCGCCGGCCCGCGCGGCCGTTTTCCGCTCGCCTTCCACGTTCAGGCTTACCGGACCAGATCGCACGCGCCTGTGCCGCGGGGGGCTCAAGTCCACGTTGACCACGGGGATCCCGCCGCGCATGGTCGTTTTGTGACAGTTGCTGCCAGTTGTAACATTGGAGCTTTTCGCGATCCTTCGCGACGGCGACGATATCGCCGCACGGATTGACGACGACTCTTGTTCGTCGACCCGTACCCGCGATTTCCGGCGATCATCACGGCGGAGGGTTTCAATCGGATCGGCGTCGCGTGGGTTCCCATCGCGAGCTGGAGACGCGCGCATCGCTCTGCTAGTACTACGAGTAGTACGAGGCCCTGGGTCCGCTCGGCCGCAGCGGTACGGTGCGACTGAAGGATGGTGCGGATGGGGAGGAAGGGCGTCAGCTCGCGACGATCCGACGGTGCACATGAGGAGAGAAACGCGGTGTTGAATATCTGTTTGGTTGCTGAATAATAGGGAGTGGATTCACAGGCGGCGGGCCGTACGATGATGAGACTCGACTCGACTCGACTCGACTCGGTTAGAAAGGCTGGTCGAATTCGCCGCTTGTCTACTCAACCAATAGGTGAATTTAGTTCTTTGAAGCCAGGTCCCCATGGCGTAGCAAAGGTCACCGGATTCGCGCGGCAACTGGGGAATTTTCACGATGGGTTGGACGACCTTGGGATCTGCGAGACGTAGACGGTCGTAGGGCGCGAGAAGAGAAAAACTAGGTTCGACCTACTATTACTACTACCAGTACTTTCTCTTGGTATGAGGGGGAGAAAGAGAGAGAGAGAGAGGGAAACTTTGGAGAATTCACAGCGCAGTTCAGATCTAGTAGCGGAGTTCAGATCAGCGGAATTCACAGCACAATGTACTTTGTTTTCAGTGCGACGGAAACAGCACACTTGTCTGAAGAACGTTTCCAGTCTAGGAGCTTTTCGATGTGAGAAGAATACAGACAGGTTTGAGACCTTGTTGGGGGAAGTGGCTGATATGGTCGCTCGCAGTGACCAAGGTGGTCACTGCTGATGAGTCGAACGGAGTGTGAAAAGCTTCTGACTGAACTGAACTCATGTTGGAGAAGTTGGATGGCGCGATGGTGGTTACCAATTACAACACCAAGTCACAAGCGGAATCAGCAAAGCACCATGCATCCATGCGTGTCAACATGACGACCATGGATGGAATCGTGAAAGAACCTTGGAGGGTTGCAATGTAGAAAGGGAGGATGTGACACCGGAGTCGGTGCAGACAGCCAGGTAGCCATAGGTAGCGTTGAGTTACTTTACCTTCTCCAGTCATGGCCGTGTCAGCCATGCCAGCCATGCCACTGGCATTTTGATTTCCACCCACGAATCTTCACTCTGCTTTTCCGAGTTTCTTTCACCAACAGCACTGATCATGAAGGAACGATGCCTACATGTAGCAGATTTGCCTCGTTGCGGCCTGAGGTGTGGCTCCGAACCGCAATCTCAGCAACCTCGCGACAACATCAATGTTGGTGATTTGAGGTGGAGCCCAAGGTCTTGGCCTGTGGAATTTGGTGTGAAAAACAGCGGTGTAGTGGACTCTATGGTCTGCCCGAAACCGCGACGTACTGGCCTGTGGTGTTTTGATTCTTTACAAATCGGTGTTTACTTCTGTACGGTCTGGCCGAAACTGGGATTACTTGGGAACTTTCGGTCTGACCTGGCGTGTCAAATTCCCATTGCAGCCAGACCTCTCAAGTTCATTACCTGTGAGACTTTTTAGAACAGACCTCAACTGCCCACAGGCTGCTATCCCGTCCGTTGCAACTGAACAAGAAAACACCTGCCACATGCCAGCTGGAACGGCAAGCTTCACAGGCTGGAAATTGAAGTGGTAAAAATGACATCAGTGCTGGAATGACTCTATATACCTTCGAGAAAATACATGCTAGACTATATAAGCATGAACGAAACTGACTGGCTCATGCACTGACATTTTAACTATATCGCATTACACTAAAAACGCGTATTTTTTCTCCTCCTATAACACCTCACCATTTTTCATGCTGACGTTTCAATTCCTTCGGCCAGCAGCGCATACCACGTGTGCGTAGCGCAGTGGTTGACGATTACTGGCCAATGTGTACCTCGACTGTGCTGAGCACGTTTTGTCATGCAAAGTTACCCCGCTTTACCCCTGAACGTGTATTAGTTTCCCCTGCACGCTTCTCCCTCCACTATATATCCGTTAAGTTCCACGCTAATCCCGCTCCCTATCTATTCTTCTCGATTTTCTCAACGTGAATAGCCTGGAATGGAAAATAAAATAACCTCGGTGCTCTCTACCCAGGTCCACATTCTCTCAACCTGCACGCAGCGCGTTTCCACCTCCCCCTCTTCCATCCCCCCCACATCCCCCTTGGTTATGATTTTCTTGTTTAGGGTCCCCCTCCCCCAAACACTTGCCACCCTACATCTTCCAGTCCCCGAACAAATGTTTGCCACAATTGCGCCTATCTGTTTGGCCCATTTCTGTTCTTGGGCCTTTCCTGCATGCAGTCGCATCGCATTATGTAGAACGCCGTTTTCGAGCTCCTTTGCTTGTCCACTCATTTGCTTCCAAAGTTTGACGAGCCGTCTACATTCCCTGGTTTATTGGGCCTGCTCTCCGCACCCATCGCGAACACCGCTGCCGGTACTGGGATGCACCCTCTGAACTGCTAAATTGCTTCATACGTTGAACCTTCTCCTCGTTTCTCGTGTCGCCTTCCGCAATCATAGTGGCTATTTTATGCCTCTTCAAAAAATTAACATTATTCTCACACGCCACTCTTTTGGGGATGCTACTGTAATGTAGTTCAAGAGTAGTAGGAAACAAGAAATCGCCGTCACGATACTTTTTTCCTCATTGAACGACCGTCACAACGCGTCACCACAGCGGCGGCGGAAACATTTACTTGTAATATTAATCAATTCGGGACGCTCGTTACCGTTAGCGTTACCACTGTGCCATCCTCAAGATGACGTGGCCGAGTAGTTACATCCCTCGCTCCTCCACCAAACTTTCCGACTTACCCGCTGACGTCATCTATCTTGTCTTGAAGCGACTTCCCCCCAGCAGCGTGCGCCACCTCTCCGCCTGCAGCACGGGCTGGCGAGCCGCGTGCAGCAGCGACGCGGTTTGGCGAGCGCTGTACGCGGCGCGGTGGGGCGGAGACGTGGCGGACTGGGACGGCGCTGACGACCCGAGCCGTCGCGGCAACGCTGACGTTGACGTTGACATTGACGTTGACGGTGGCAGCGTTGACTCTGCTTCTGCCGGTTCGTCTCCGACGGAATCCTTCCTCTCCGCATCGCCACCGTCGCCTACAGCAATTATCCTGCCGCGTGCCGCTGGTTCCTATCGTGCTGACTCGA